GCATTTAAATTTAAATCCTCGCGTGACTCTTTAATTTCTCCCTTTCTCTCTTTCTCGTGGCTTCGAAATTTATGGAATCTGAATAAGCAGTAATTTATAGCGATAATAGTGATAGTAATGCGATTGGATACGCTTGCAACAACTTTGCATCACAATAGATACAGGTTCTAGCGATGGGCGGTAGCAACCAATTTTTAGAGCAGTCGTCTATGTTACATCTCCCATGTTACACGCCTCCAAGTTATTATTATTTTATACTTATTTGTTACCGCAATTAGTTACTGTTATTTTTTTGGAGCGCAACATGATAACTTGTTCGCGCGATATTCGCGCGATGCAAAGCTAGATTTGAATTCGAAATGTCTATCGATCGATCGTACTTCGTCGACGCTTCGGAAGCCGCTATTCCGTCTGGCATGAACGAGCCCCGACTAGTTTCTGCGCGCAGCCGAGGAAGGAACGTCCCGCTGATCGTCCTATCTCATTAGCGATCGCATGTTCGTTCCCATGATCGCCGCTGACGCTGAAACGTGGCATCTTCGTGCCATTAGATAAAATCCTACGTACCTAGGGATCATCAACATCATTATCAGCATAGTCATCGACCGGGGTGGCGCTAGCGTACGTATATAATCTCGGTACGGTCGGCTTATCAGAGTACGTCAGCCGTACGTCTGAAAGGAAGGCCTTTTTCTGGCGCGCTATCTTCGCGCCGTATCGTGGCACTCCGCTTCTCGCGCCGCTTATTGCGGCACTCGCGAGAGGCAAATCCCGTGTCCGGCGGGCTCATTGTTTGACGCGAGAATCCGCCAACAACACCGCCCAAGACGATCGTGTTAACAATAGCTACGCGGATACATCGCCGTCAGTATAATCGGCCCGCGAGATCGCGACGCCGATCCGGACCTCCGGACCTCCTCAACTTGTCCCGATCTATCGCGATCTATCTCGATGTGAGAGACATTTTCTTTCCAGTAGCCAAGTTTCGAACGATGATGTAAAGGATATTTTATGATCGAGTCCCCCATAAGGAGATGCTTCTACATACAGACGCGCGTGTATCCGACGTATCTCTTGCGTGGAGAAAGATATATCCTGCCCTTCCGTCTGATACCACACGATCGCGAGGAAACCAGGATACTCGTATCGTCGTAACGGATACGACGAGGTCCCGATGAAAAGAGCAGTCTCCTCCTTCTTCTTCCCCCCTTCCTCCCCCCCCCTCCTTCACGCCTTTCATTATCAAGAAAAAGAGAAAAAAGAAAGGGTAGGAATCGGTATCCCCGGGTGTGCCAGCGCGAAAGCTCCGGCCTATTAGAATACGTCAGGCTCTCTTCAAGGT